CCTCGTAAACCTGAATCAAGACTCCTGGCTGGTTATCTGAGTACGTGGAGAAGATCTGAGTCTGCTTCGTGGGGATGGTGGTGTTTCGCTTGATAAGAGGTGTCATAACGCCACCGGCTGTTTCAATGCCCAGCGACAAGGGAGCCACATCCAGGAGCAGTAAATCTTGGACATTTTCTGAGGTGTCACCCATGAGGATAGCAGCTTGGACGGCTGCACCATAGGCCACCGCCTCATCAGGGTTGATGCTCTTGTTTAGCTCTCTACCATTGAAGAAGTCCTGCAGGAGCTTTTGGATTTTGGGGATTCTTGTAGAGCCACCAACTAGGACAACTTCGTGGATCTTGGATTTATCCAGCTTAGCATCTTGTAGGGCCTTCTCAACTGGCTCCAGTGTTCCCCTGAAGAGGTCCGAGTTGAGCTCCTCGAAGCGTGCCCTTGTGATTGAGGTGTAAAAGTCAATGCCCTCAAAGAGTGAATCAATCTCAATGCTTGCCTGAGTGCTGGAGGACAAGGTCCTCTTTGCTCTCTCGCAAGCTGTGCGCAGTCTCCTCACCGCTCTCTTGTTCTGGCTGATGTCCTTCTTGTGCTTTCTTTTAAACTCCTCCACAAAGTGGCTGACCATTCGGTTGTCAAAATCCTCCCCACCAAGGTGTGTGTCCCCGGCTGTGGCTTTCACCTCAAATATGCCGTCCTCAATGGTCAGGATGGACACGTCAAAAGTGCCTCCACCAAGATCAAAGATGAGGATGTTGCGCTCTCCTCTTTTGCCTTTGTCAAGGCCGTAGGCAATGGCTGCCGCTGTGGGCTCATTTATGATGCGGAGAACATTTAGTCCGGAGATCACTCCAGCATCCTTTGTGGCTTGCCTTTGGGAATCATTAAAGTAAGCTGGCACTGTGATGACCGCATTCGACACCCTCTGTCCCAGAAAGGCCTCGGCTATTTCTCTCATTTTAACCAGGACCATCGAGGAAATCTCTTCAGGACAGAATGTCTTAATTTCTCCTTTATATTCCACCTGGACTTTGGGCTTTCCGTTGTCGTTGATCACCTTGAAGGGCCAGAGTTTCATGTCAGACTGGACCACCAGGTCATCAAACCTTCTTCCAATGAGCCGTTTGGCATCAAAGATTGTGTTGGTGGGGTTCATGGCAACTTGGTTCTTGGCAGCATCTCCGATGAGCCTCTCTGTGTCAGTAAAGGCCACGTAGCTGGGAGTTGTCCTGTTGCCTTGATCATTGGCAATAATTTCCACTTTTCCATGCTGGAAGACCCCGACACAAGAGTAGGTGGTGCCCAGATCGATGCCAATGGATATTCCTTTAGCTGATGACATCTTGCTGGTTGAGATGAACCTAGATAGAATCAGAATGAAAATAATTTTATTTTACGGGTACTCTTTGATGAAAGCCTTCAAAGTGAAGGGAAACTGTTAGGATCACTAATGCTGATAAAAGAAAACCCGTTTGTGCTCAGCATTCATTTATCAGTTTCAGAAAAGTTGGCCTGTAGTTTTATCTTTTTAACACCAACAGTGCAGCTTTGAATCATCTCCCCAGGCTGTTTGAAAGTCATTCAACACTCTGATACATGTGACTAATACGACTCACATTTCAGTATAGCTAGGAACATGTTTGGATCATCGAGCGACGACTTAAACATTGAACTGAATGGAGGAGGGTCAGTGTTGCCCAGAAGAGGTCTTGAAATGTGACCTTAATGCCCCATCTGTATTTCTGTTCTGACTACAATTTATAGGCCTCTGCCTTTTCAGAAATGAAGAACATATTGTAGGCTGAGTTTCTTTACATGTACAGTATGTACCTTTTCTAACTGTCTTGAGTAATGGCACCTAATTGTGGTACATTTTCATAACAGTCTTTATACTTGACCTCTTTTTGCCACTTAACTCAGACGTATAATTCAATAGATATGCCTGTTTGACGACAGGGAAACAGCATTTCTGCAGTGATGTGTTAACTGGTTAATGTTAGTGTCTGTCTTTCACTGGACTGTTTTCTGTTTCTTATCCTTTTTAGATTTCTTTCTCCTCATAAAGCAAAAGGAGTTTCATCCTCTAAGTTTGATGCCACAGTTCAAACTGTTACCTTTAGCATATTTGTAATAGATTTTATGGAGCAAATTGTGTGTTTTCACATCAAAATATTTGACTTCCATTTTCTATGGCTCATTGCTAGATGCAGACTTAAAGAGTAACACTCAGCATGTCTCATTTGAACCAACTCAAAGAAATTAAGAGAGATAAACCTTCACACAGTTTTCTTTCAACATAATTAACAGATATTTTAAAGCATTTTAATAAAAAGATAAACCGACTGAAATAACCACTCCCTTCCTTTTCATTCTCCAAGCGTTTTCAATGACATGTTTTGGACTATTTAAACAGTAGAAGTCCAGCTACTTACAGCCAGTGGTGATCTCCTCGTTGATGAAAAGGTTAGAGTTAGGAAGGATTTCCCCTGCGAGTCTCGTTTCTAGTCAGCTTCTGCCGTCAGGTGTTTCTTCTGAAACTAGTGCCTGGATTGAATCAGGCCCGTTGCTTATATAGTAACACCCGGGTTTCCAGAAGGCTCCCAGTGACCCCTCCTCCTCCTTCAGGCCCAGTGAGGAAACTGATAATATTAGAAACTAATGCAGCTAGCCTGGAGCGCGAGAGAGTGTGTGAATATTCTAGAGAGGGAGAGCAGTTTGACGCCCAGCCAGCAGGGCTGACTGAGAGGAAAGCAATGCAGGGAATGTAGCGGTAAGGCTCATTCTGGAAGCCAGGAGGAAGTTCTTGCTGTCTTCAACTCTGTCTTTTATCTCTAAAATTACTCATTCTCCACACACACACATAAAAAAAAAAAAACTCCACACTTTTAAAGTCAGTTAAAAAGCTTTGCTTTATTGCTGATTTAATGCATGAATTTACATACATAGTACACACTTAATGTTATTTTAATCACATAAAATGTTAATTAAGGTGACAGTTGAATCAAATTAAGACAGTGACAATCATATGCCAGACATGAAGTTCATTATTTTTCTTAAAATACATCTCGTATGTTAAAGTTACAATTAGTACCATAAGCAGTGGAAGGAAGACGTTACATTTAAGTAGGTGTTGTTAAAAAAGGAACGACGATTCACTAAATTAAGGTCAGCGCTGATGGTTGGTATAGAAAACCTGTTTCAAAACAAGTTCGGACACTCGTGGGATTTCCAAATTGGAGCAAATAGTGCAGATACTAAAACCCATTAAAACTTTGGGTCTAAAGTTTTAATGGAAATAAAATCTAACTGTTCAAATTAGGTTTCTGTGCTGCCAGCATTTGATTCTCACAGACAGAAAAGTTTGTCTTTTATTTGTTCCAATAAAAATAATAATTCTTAACCGGAAAGAAAGAAATTACTCTTTCTGGAGAAGGAAAAAAATGGTGTATTTTTCTTCCATTTAAAACAGTGTCCCAACCTCTTTGAATACAGGGTTATAAAAAAAAAATCAAAAAGGCACATTCATACCACGGCCTTAAAAGGCATCATTCAGGCAAAAGGTTTTTACAGTGACAGAGATCAGGACTGGAATGTGACAGAGCAAATGGAAAGTTGGAAATAAATGAGTGGAGCTATCATTTATTGAGAGAGTTCTTGTGGCTTTACTCTTCAGGTTTTTCCCAAGTTCCCTTCAGGAATTTGTAAAGCCTTTATTTTTAACACATCATGTGTCAAAACAAACTATTCCTGTTATTTTTTCTTTTGTTAAACTTCTTTTAATCATAAGGTTGATTTGCAGTGCTCTAAAAAAGTATTCACATCCTTGAAGCTTTTTCACCTTTTTTTTTTACGTTTCAACCAAAAATGTCAAAGGATTTCATTTGATAAAGCAACACACAGCAGCATATTTGTGGAGTGAGAAAAAAAAAACATTCATTGTTTAAAATTTTTCCTATTTGTTTTACAAATAAAAATCTGAAAAAGTGAATCAAGCACTTATATTTGGTCAGAGTTAATATGGGAGTCCGGAAAGGAAACGGGAGGCAGCAAGTTTGAGACGGGGGAGGAGGTTTGCCTTTCAGCCTAAACAACCAGAGCTACAATGAAATCTGAACCAAAGGCCTCCATCCAATCTGAATAAGTTTGAATAAGTTTGCAAAGAGGAATGGACAAAACGTTAGTCTCTAAAGACATGCAGCTCTAAATTGAGTAGAGGCCTCCATCCAATCTGAATAAGTTTGAATAAGTTTGCAAAGAGGAATGGACAAAACGTTAGTCTCTAAAGACACGCAGCTCTAAATTGAGTAGAAGACGGTTAAACAAAGCTTTGATTCAGTGGAGAAGAAAACTGCTGGATGTAAGACTCTTCAGATTTTTATTTGTGAGCGTTTGGAAAATCCTGTATTCTTCAACTACCTCGTCAAAAAAATCCCAATAAAAATATGGTTGTATTGTTACAAAAAAATGCATATAAACAAATTTTTTATATATATATACTTCATGATCTAGTGGATGTTACCTTTTAGGGCTTATGTGCAGGTAGCATTCAAAAATGCTTTCATGCGTACAAAACTACTAAGATAATGTGCATGCCGTCACAGAGCTTGCTTTGGCTCAGCCTAAACTCCGGTTGAAAGAATGTGCCCATAAATTCTCCACACCACTGACAAACGAAACAGAAACGGCCATCGTTTGGCACTGTGCGTCAAATAGAGTAAACGAACAAATCAACAGCTCTGTGATCAGGAAACAAAAACTCATTAACAACTAAATACACGGAAACATCAATGCATGCAAGTAGGATGCTCTCTGAATACAAGACAGACCAATGTTAGTTCATTATATATTATAAGTTCTCTATATATATGTCTTATCCTGAAATAATTAGATCTACTCCTAAGGTGCTATTAATAAGTTACATTCAGCATAAGTAAAATAATTCCTCCGTTTTGCAGTAGTTTAGAAAATAAAATAGATATCTCTGTTTATCCCAGGGCAACGTTTCGCTGAGTAGCAGACATCTTTATTAGTACCTGTAGAAGTAAAGAAAGTGTTAATGGATTTCTTTGTTGGTATTATAATAAAGCGTAATCATGGGAAATCATAAACTGACCCCAACCTGTAATAATTTGGCTTAAACGGGCCGTTCTTGTTCAGCCCCATGTACTTAGCCTGCTCATCGGACAGCTCTGTCAGGTGGGCATCAAAGTTGGGCAGGTGCAAACTGGCCACGTACTCATCTTGGAAAAGAGACAGAGAGTAATTCATTATAGATAAAGAGGGCATCATCCTCAGCTCCAGTAAATAAATGCTGTAAACCCTTCGGGGAGTCATAAGGTGGCAGCAGGGAGCAGGATGTAGGCAAACTCCTACCCATTTTCTTGGGCAGAAGATAAACGTCTTGTTTGTATCGTCCTTCTGGAGCGTTGTACAGCTCAATCAAGGCGAGAGCCTACAGACAACACAGGGCCAACAGCAGATGTAAGACTTTTACAGCGACACTTGCAAACATTGTACTGCAATATAGCCGACCTGAGTAGTAGCAGTGATGGACAACACGAACGTAGGCACTGTAGAACAGCTCAGATTTAAAAGACGACCCTGAGGAGAACCGGAACGCACACAGAGCCTTTATCATACGTTCAAGTAAACAAACTAAATAAAATAGAAGTAGAGTCTGACGTATGTCAAGAACAGTGAGGTTTTACTGTGGACTTGTCCTGCGACTTTACCTCTGCCAGCACAATGACCCTTTTCCCATCTGGCCAGATGATGTGGTCGACCTGAGAGCGAACCCTCTCCCAGGTCAGCTCGGGGCTGCGTAGGCTCGCCTGAAGAGCACAATGGAAAATACACGCACACAAAAAATAATAATTAAGAAGGGAATAATTAAAAGTCATCTGCAACCAAACATGAGTTTGACTGTGCTGGTTTTCTATCACATGTGGATGAAAAGATGAGCGTTCACCCTGTTTAGAATGGTGGTAATATGACGTAAAATCACATGAAAATCAAAGCCTTGGCCTTTCTGGGGGAACAAGGAAATGTAACCATTTGATCATTTACCCATCAGTGTCTATTCAGTACCGAATCAGATCAGATAACAGATCAAATATATAATAACAGGTATCAGGATGATATTCTACTCCCGGTACCCGATGATGGTCTCCTGTCTGATTTTCTTCACTCCACGCTACACAAGTTGAGGTGTGGGCGATATTCACGTGCGCAGCTGATTCCGTGCACATTATTTTGTTGATTGACTCTGGGTTTTTCGCTTCGCATCTACGGCTTTTTAAGCTTTCACTTTGATGTTCACAGTGGGAAACGGAGAGAAGCCGCATCAGCTCCTTAGAGGCTCACTGTGTCTGTAACATGATGTTCCCTGCTTCCCTCAAGCATGAAAAGACACTGTGCAGCAGAGGGCGCTGTGCTGAGGGCATTCTCAGTAATGGCCTTCTAATTGTACAACTCTAAAAACAATGTATGTATGTATGTTTTTTGTCTGTATAAAATTAACTGCAATCATCATGGATTATATTACAAGCTAAATTATTAACAATGGGACGTAAACAGAGAGTAAAACAAACCGCTCTGGTTTGTTTTACTCTGCTTCTGCTGAGACATTTTCAGCAGAATCAGGACTGTAGCTATAATTTTGAATCAGATATATATTATGAAACAAATCTATTTCATGTAATGTGTTGGAGGAACATTACAGTAACTTTCTTAACCAAACTGAGAAAGGTTGACCTGAGAAAACTCTGGATGGGATAAAATATCTGCAGCTTTCAGTCATAAATAGAACAACCTCAAAAAATAGCTGTGTAAATAAGTATTTTTAATGTATTCAGTGAACATGGCATTCATTTTATTATGTTTAATGAAGCAGCAGACCATGACTTGGTGTTGGCCGATGCCTGCTCTTAAATTATTCAAATCAAGTAACAGTTTGTCACTCAGGTAGTAAAAAGGAAAGATAGAAATATTGGGCTGAGAAACTAAGCCAGTTAAAAGGTCATATTCCAAATTCCTCACCTTTAATAATAGATGGAGCTTAACCTCTTTACCTCTAATCACCCTAATTTCTAAATCAGGAGCTTTATAACTGTGATAAATTCCAGCGAGGAATAAAACATGAAGGCATATTTGCAAAGCTCACAGGATTATAAGAATAAAGAACATAATAGGGGTTTTTCCCCCATGAAAGTGTGTGAATGCCTGCCAACTTGTGCTTAAAACAGGCACGTTTTTTTTTTTTGTTTTTTTTTATGGGAACTTTCCATAAATAAATAATAGAAAAACAATGAAATTACCACATCGATCTCTGTATTGGAATGTCCCATATTGCAGACAATGCAGCCATTTTTCATTCGGTCAAGATGCTCTCTGGAAACAACGTTCTTGTTCCCTGCAAATAAACAAACGGAAACCGGTGACCTCTGAAGAAAATCCCTGAATTCAAAGGGGAATGATATTTAAAACGAGACACACAATTTGCACATGGCCAACGCTGTGGCCATTAAAGCAGAAGTAACGCCTGTCACTGCGTGGGGCTCCGTACCAGTGCAAGTTATCACCACGTCCATCTGCCGGATGACCTCGCTCAGCTTGACCACTCGAAATCCGTCCATACTGTGCGGACACACAAAGCAGATCTCAGTATTTTGCTTACGCAAGAGAGGAAAGTGAGCGGATTAAAAGACGACATAATAATGCACCGGTTAGCATCGCAGCTAATTCAGTGCACAAGCACAGAAATTCTAGTGGCGCACATTTATTGATGGAGGAGGGCCGATCGGTAATGTGCAGTGACTCACCATGCCTGCAGAGCACAGATGGGGTCAATCTCTGTGATGCACACAATGGCGCCGAGGGCTTTGAGAGCAGTGCAGCAGCCTTTTCCCACCTACAGATCACAAAGCAGTGGAATAAAAAGGTCAGCTGCACCAGTGGAAATTCAATCATTTCAAGTAAAAGCTTTTGTCCCTTGTTTGTTTTGTGTTTTTTTTTTTTAAATATAGGAATGACTCACCTCCCCATAACCACACACAACCACTTGTTTGCCTCCAAACATTATGTCCGTGGTCCTTTTCAAGCTATCAGAGAAAAAGTAAAAACAATCATTCAGGACCATCTTTAATTTATTATTTTACATCATTTAAAAAAAGAAAAAAACGGAAGCAGTACATTAAAGACGATGTCAAAAGAAACATTGCTCTTTTGTCTCCACTATCGGACATTAAAGCAGACTAAATGTTTCCTGTTTTAGGTCGGTTATAGTTCTAAAAAATATTTCTATTTACTAAATGTCACAATAATGTGAGAAGATCTTTCCTAGTTTCTTTAAAATCTACACACATATTTCATATTGGGAAAAGAACAATATGTGGAAACATTGAAGAAACATCTACAGCCTGGCATTGACAAGGTCAATGTTTTGAGATGGCTGTCAAAAAGCTATGACCGTACTCTCATTGAGTGTTTTTGGGCAGAAATGAAAAGATGTGTATGGTAAAAGCGTGAAACCTGTCAATTTTAGTAAATAAAAACAAATAATACCCCTCCTACTATATTATTCTTGCACTTAAAACGAATTTTATTTTGGTAATCCGAACATCTTTTAACAGGAAAAAGATTAGTCTGATTAATGTTAGACAGTGTGAAAAAAGCCCACGGGTCTTTTTATACGACCTACTGTAAATATTTAAAACGTTCTAATCTTGCTCACCCATCCAGAATAGATTCGCGGCAGCAGTAGAGGTTGTCAAACTTCTGCTTCGTAACCGAGTCGTTCACATTCATCGCAGGGACGCACAGCTTACCCGCCTTAGACAGCTGATACAATCTGAAAAGACACAGCAGGAAGTGCGTTTAGGCCAATCGGGTCACATGACACCTTTGATCATATCCAACGAAAGCGAGACGCCCGTCTTTATGACACTGAGCTTTCTGGAGCCTCTGGCTAACTGAGTCTATGGAAGCGTATATTTTGGCTGCGTCATGTTTCTCCAATTCCCCGAAGTTATATAAGGGCAAAGTCCTCTGAAGCCCACAGTGGCATGTATCAATACCAACATGACCTATACGACACCCTTGCTTATTGTTGCTGTTGACACAATAGTCAGAATATTTATAAGCAAATGCATTCAGGTAAAGCCCAACTTTTCCAGGAAAACAGAGAACAAATCGGAAAAGAGAAGCAGAGACAGAGGCTTGAAATGAAAACAATCAAACTGTCTCACCTGTGAACGCCAGTGACGCTCTCCTCCACGATCCCTCGGACCTTCTTGAACACGCTGGGATACTTCTTGTAAACCCAGTGGGTCAAATCTCCACCATCGTCCAAGATCTTTCATTTGAACCAAAGAGGAGATCGGTTAGCTGCGTCAAAGCTTTAGGAAGGCCCCAGAGAGCGAGAGGTGTTAAAAGTCATGATGCAACTGCACTCATAATACCATATTGGCCTGCCAGCCGTCGCTGTTGACACAGCGATCGATGCACCACCAGAAGTCGTCCTCTGATTCACCTTTCCATGCAAACACAGGTACACCTGCAGGAAGCAGCACACACACACGACGGGCAAAGACGGAAGCCCATTAGGGGGGGATTATTACATGATAACAAACACAAGCATGAAACGGTTAACTTTCAAGGTCACTGAGAGTTCATTCAGACTTACAACTAAGATGAAGTAAAACCTTATCTACTTCTATCCGTTAAAATGCAGGTCGCTACAATAACAGGATTTTATTTTAGCCTGGAATACAAATTTGATAGCTGGGGCAAACCCACACACTGTATTTACTCATGCTGTTCTTCTATACAAAGGTTCTGAGGCAAAACTTAAAGTACAAAATAAAACAACAAACAAACAAACAAAAGAATCTAAAATTAATTTTTGTCTGTTTTGTAGCTCCAGTCAAAGTTAAAGAAAATGTTTCTATCTGGATGCTTTCGATACATTCAATTACAGATGCTTATTACTGGTCTACTGACTGTGATTATATGAAAAATACTCTCTCTCTAACAACGCATAGATAATGTCCACAGTGAAAAAGAGATTGTGTTGCTCCTGCAGGTTTGCTAAAGAAAAAAACAAAAAGGTTTTCTTATGTTTTTTGTCTCTGTTATTCATATGCTTTGTAAAATTCAGATGATGTATGATGTTGCTGTTCAGGACAGTAAATCTCGACTTCATGTTACCAAAGTGTTGAGTGATTGATTCATTTCAGAAAGCGTCATGCTTTAAACCAGTAGATTACATAGAAAAAGCCCCACGAGCTTCTAGAGGGGACGAATCTCACCAGTTTCAGCGAGAGCAGCGGCCACCTCGTTTTGAGTGGAGTAGATGTTACAGGCAGTCCAGCGGCACTGGGCCCCGAGGGCCACCAGAGTTTCAATCAGGACCTAGGAGGGGATGACGGATTGCACACGTGTAAAAAACGTTAGAAGACGTGAGCTGTAACAGAACATCAGCTGGACCTGCAGAGAACAGGACGAGAGGACAGAACGTACGGCTGTCTGAGCAGTGATATGGGTGCAGCCCACTATCTTGGCCCCGGCCAGGGGCTTCTCCCCCTGGGCTCTCTTCCTCAGCGAGATCAGGGCAGACATGTCTGTAAAGCAAAAATATATAAAACTTAAAAGCTATGAACATTTGTTTCTCTCTTGAAAACTAATTTTAAGGTTTTTTTTTTTTTTCCAATAAAAAAATAAAAATAAAAAAATCAGCTAAGGGAGTCTCTCTGATAAGTGTAGATCTATGGATTGGAAATAATATCCTATAATTTGGAAAATAAAAATGAAAATTGACCATCTACAAATTATCTATTTTAACTTTTATATTTTAGGTGTTCAAGTAAGGAATAAGTAAATGAAACATTATTTTAAATGCTGGAAATGTTTAAAGATGGAGTAAATTCTGTATTTTCCAACATGCTTGGAGAACCCCTGAGATAAACACTGGTGTGATGAGTGGTATAAAAATGCTACATGAATCAGAGCATATAAGCTACGTTTGTACTTTTAATAAAGAAAAGATAAGAGTCTGAGTGAATCATTAACAGCATTTTTTTTAAATAAAAAAGTAATAATAATCTCTTCCTACAAGATGGTTATAAAAAGAACGGCAGGAATATGACAAACTGTGAGAACAACAGCAACATACCATCTACAGCCCTGCAGATTTAAGGCCTAATAAACACTTGTCAGACGTTCACATATTTCCCTTGAACAATGTAAACAGCTAGAAGCACAGCAGACAGAAGAGAGAGACTACAGCATCTTTGAGAGCTGAAAGTAATAGGACATACGAAACGATAAAAAACAAACTGATCTGTAATAATGTTTTCAGAATGACATCAGTACTGAATAAGACAGGATCTTAACTGTTGTGAAATTAGAAAGTCGTGTAGTGGTAGTAAGCAGTTTTTTTTTTTGTTTTTTGTTTTTTTTGGCAAATATTCAGGAATAAGAAACTGCTTTCTTTGTTTGGTTCTTTGTTCTTAGGAGTTTTAAAAAACAGTCTACTATGCACACCGCCTAACAGCAAAACGATTTTGTCTCCTTTCACTGCAGAGCAGAAAAAAAGCTGCAAACTCAAAACTACACTAATCAGGAAACTACTGTTTGGGTTTCAGCTTCTGCAAAGAAAAATCTATATTATCTTCTACGTAGCTGTTACATCCGTGTGGGCACCTTGCTCTGCTATTTCAATTTCCCGCCGTCCGAATTCAGCCTGTTTGATGTTCTTCACACAGAAGTTGGTGCTGCCGTGGCTGTTGACCTGGGCTTTGTCCCGGGGGGAGGTTTCATCATCGGAGCTGTCGGTGTAGGAAGCAGCTGGAAAACGGAGAACACAAAAGCTCACTTTTGTGTTAAAACACACGAGCGGAGGCAATAATGAAATCTATACTTCACATCTATTGTGAGAAAGAAAGGACCTCTGTGTGCACTTCCTGTGTGTGTGTGTGTGTGTGTGTGTGTGTGTGTGTGTGTGTGTGTGGACCTGTGTATATTAACAGCGCCTTGTAAAAGTATTCACACCCTGTGAGCTTTTTTTTATTTTTATTATTATTATTATTTTTTTTCACATTTTGTCACATTCCAGTCACAAAATTTTAACTTGTTTAAATGGGATTTTATGTGGTAAATCAATGCAAAGTAGAGTAGAATTGTGAAATAAGAGGATAATCACAAATGGTTTAAACAGTGGTGTAAATTTGTACTCAGCCCACCTGGATCAGTACTTTGTAGAACCAGATTTACCTACAGTTTTAGCAGAAAGTCTTTCAGTGGAAGGATCAGCTTTGAAAAGTCCAGAGTCTTTTCTCGCTAATTCTTATTTACAATATAGCTCCAACTCAGTCAGAATGGATGTTAATAACATCTGTTTTTAAAATATGTCCACAAACTCACTAATAGGTCTGGACTTTGGCTGAGCCAATTTTACACATCAATATATTTTTGAACAAAACTATTCCATTGTAGTTCTCAGTCTATTTTAAGGTTGTTTTTCTGCCAGTAAGGTTAACCTCTGCCCTGGTGTCGATTCTTCCTGGTCTCCTGCAGAGTATTTAGCTCCATCCACCTTCCAATCAGCTCTGACCATATTCCCAGTAGCTGCTAAAGAAAAGCATTCCCACAGTATGACGCAGCCCCCACCAAGTTTCACAGTGAGAAATAGCACTTTTATTTTTCCTTCACACAGGTAGCTTTGATTAAAGACAAAAATTTACATTTGGACTCGTCTAACCAAACACCTTCCTCAACAAGTCACTCAACCCAAAACACGAATCGAACCTATTTGTTAGAACAAACAGTTCCTGAGAAACTGAAATTATGCTATATAAATAAAATCACCTTAACTTACCTGAAGTCTTCACATGGCATATAGTACATGGTTTTATTTTACCAAATCCATTAGCCTAACATCATAAACTGAAGTCTGTTTTTCGACCTACCATCGGTTTCCCTTACTTTGTAACTACCTTGTGTTTCTCCATCACCTAAAGTCCAGACAAAAGATTGAAATTTGTGGCTTCTATGTGAAACATGTGAAAAAGCTGAAGGGGTTTAACGTTTTCAACTCAATGTACAGTAGGAAGCAGAGTGTTGCTTTAACGGATGTAACGCGCAAGTCTGTCAAAATAATATGTGATATGCATGTGTGTTAATAAAAACACGAATGCCCGTACTGAAACCTTGGGGTCCACAGTACCTGAGCTGTAGCTGTCTGTGGAGGACTGTGAGATGGAGCGTGAGAGCGAGCGGCGACCCGCCTTGGTTGGAAACTTGCTGAACTCCTGCTTGTCCTCTGCATTCGCAAACTGGATCTGAAAAACAGTCAGTCAGATGCAACACTGAAATCACACGCAGACAGGGACAGAAAGCATCATCGCAACACATTAGCAGTGTAGATGCTCGGTAACATGCTTACGTAACTGCTTGTATTTGAACTCATTTTGCTGTTTCAGCCTCAAAACTGTCCTTTGAAAAAAAGAAAAAGGTTGAAATCAGCTCATTTTTGCAAAACGCAGGTGGATCAGGAGGAAGAAAGCTGCTGCTTATTTTTAGACGCGCTCCGCTGCTCTGTGATTTATGCTTTGTTCAGATACACAGGCTGGAGTTGCTGTCGGGGGCTATTTGTTTTTCATCATGCTAACCGAAGCCTTCAAAGCGCCACAGATCAAAGCCCTGGAAACACATGAATCAGAACAGCGAAAGCTTGATTAGTGTCTGTATGTTGTACCCCTGCTTTTCATAAAAGTCGTAACTGTTTGAGAATCTGGTCTTTGGTTCCAGCATCAAAACACATTTTTCAAGCTTACGAGCTTTAAGACAGATGTAAAGAAATATTCTGTTACATCACAGTCCCACACGTAATGCTGTTCCTCAGCACTTTACAGCAACACAAGGTCTCCAGGGTCGTTTCATTTTGCACATTTTGTGTTTCGCATAATTGGTGACAGAAAAAAAAAAAACAAGCTTGGACCAGTCCTCTCAGAAACTAGAGATGCACACTGGAGTCACCCGATCTGCAACTTGATTGACCCTTATCGGTGATCAGCTGGTCAGAAAGTTGAAGATCCAATCTGCATCTTTTTTTTCCTGATCTGTGAGCTTCACACAAGATGTTGGTAACAAACAAAGTAATGCAGAAATCAAAATTAAAGCATTAATTTCAATTAGTTAATTAAGGAAAGAAAATCTCGTTAAAAAAAAATTTATAATTGCATGATTCAGGAGAGTATGAAGTACGAAACTTCATACCACATTTATGAACCACATTTATGAAGTGAAAAGGAACAATCTGGACAAATCACTACTGCAGAATTACAGGCTGATCTCCAACCTCCCATTCATCAGTAAAGTTATTGAAAAAGCAGTTTTTAAACAATTAACTAACTTCCTAACAATAATGAATCACTTTGACTCCTTCCAGTCTGGCTTTCGTGCTCACCACAGCACGGAGACGGCCTAGTCAAAGTGTTCAATGACATCCATATAAATAGACAGTGGGAGAACCACAGTGCTGGTTCTGTTGGACCTCAGTGCAGCTTTCGACACTGTTGACCATGACATTTTACTGAATCGACTGGAGAGTTGGGTCGGACTCTCCGGGCCAGTGCTCAACTGGTTTGAATCTTACATAAAGAACAGAGATTTCTTTGTTTCAATCGGAAACTTCTCATCAGAGAGGTCAAAGGTCACATGTGGGGTACCCCAAGGTTCAATCCTAGGACCCCTTCTTTTCAATATTTATATGCTCCCACTGGCTCAGGTTATAACAGGAAATAAGATTAACTACCATAACTATGCGGATGATACACAGCTCTACATCACGATGTCACCAGGTGACTCTGAACCATCCAATCACTGAATAGCTGCTTAGAACAGATAAATGTGTGGATGTGCCAAAACTTTCTCCAGCTGAACAGAAACAAAACTGAAGTTATTATCTTTGGACCTAAAGAGGAACGAACTAGAATCAATGCTCAGCTTCAGTTATTACAACTGAAAACCAGCGATCAGCCCGAAACCTGGGA